TTTCCAGGCACCGCGCAGCCATTGTGCTCGCAGGGACTATAGCCCCCCCCCCCCACTTTTCTGCAATAATAGGCAGGAAATTTTTTTTCTCCATCAAGGTTCACGCTAACGCATTTTTGGACAGTTAACTCTATGTAGAAGCAGTTCTTTTTGACAGTGAACCTTTTTTGTTCATTTTCTAGATGTTTTATCTTGTTTAATGGTATGATGTATTTTCTAACTTGGTTAGCTTGGTGTTTTATTACCCTTTTTAAAGTTATTGATATCTTCTCTGAACCAGATTGTTTTTAAAAATTCAGTAGAAATAAGCAAGTATTTTCTAGAAGGGGTATTTTCCGGCGCCCTTCGGGTAAACCCATTTCAGCCCCTCTTACTAGACTGGTGCGCGGTCCCTGCCTATTTGTGCGTTAGTCTTAGTAGCATGAAGAGTTGTAGCTTTGTAAACAGCTCATTCTTCCAATTCTCAACCCTATAGAATAATTGGCTGGTTACCAAGCTGGTAAATTGCTGTTGCTTTGTTTCAGAGCAGAGATGGTAAGTAGAATTGGCAATAAACACAGATGTTCATTTGTCAAATATACGCATAAAAATCTGATTGAATTATGAATTTATTTTCTGGCAGTGTGCTGCAACATAAAATTAGTAGTGTGATGGAAAAAATCCGAGCTTCAAAAGTTCTTATAGCAATTTACCGTGCAAAACTTTGCCACCAATCCAGGATTTAAAGTTATTTCGCCTTCTTTTAGCAAATACAACTGTACCCTGAGATAAGGACGATTCTAGAGATTTTAAATGTAAACATTGTGTAAAGGTTGTTCGTTATAAAAAACATGAAAGGCTTTACGTAAAAGTAAATGTGTTAAGAAAAGTTTTATCCTTAGTATAATATCAAGTGTGACTTCTAAATGAATAAGATTGTTAAAATCCGAAATTCACAGAAAGGTCAGGTTGTCACCAGAATAAGTTGTCTTGCAATGTCAATATTACACGAAACAAACAGCATGTTTTGAAAATTTGTCCGACAGAATATTAAAGGTATTTAAAAATTTGTCTTGTCAATAAATCAATATACCAAAGGTTTTTTGGTAATAACAATAAAACTTTCAAGTATATTTAAGTGGACTGTTTATAGCTAAAACTAAAATGCATCTTTTCATTCGATTTCATTAAGGAGTAGTTGAATGGAAATGGAATTTTATCAGGCCAAATTGGTTGGATCACTACTATTCGGAGGACACAAAAACCTGGATAAAATGAACTGATTCCAAACGCACATTGAGTGCAAGATGTCATCTTTCTTAAATGGGCCAGTCAGTAGTCTGTTAGCTGGAACAAAGAAATGGAGCAAGTACGGACGCTGGATTCAATCAATCGATTCAGGAATTAAGCAGCTCAGCTCCTAAGGAATTCCAAAATTCGATAGTAAGAATAATTCTTGATGGTTAAATACAGTATTAATGGTCCCAATGCTCCTTCCTCGCCTTTGCTATAAAAGAGGATGGAGGATGACTGGGAATGTGTTGGCTAAAAAGTTTTGGGGTCAAAATGCTAAAAGCCAAGAGCAAGATGATTCATTGTATGATTTTAAGCACGTTTTGGTAGAGAGATAAACATGTCATCTGATCACTCGCGCATTTTACTTTGAAAATTTTCATGAAATGTACACGCAGCGATAGCTTGGCATGGAAGTTGCAGCTTGTTTAGTAATATTATCCAGGAAAGTAATAATTCCACATCCGTTTTTGTGGTTTCAAGTGGTGCTAGCTTTTTTGATTGATCTCGAAATAATATTTCCGGTTGTTACTTCTAAAGGATAATGCCACTCCTATGAAGAACAAACAACAAAATACTTAAAAGACGCTGCTGACGATTTGAGTGCTTGCCATTCCCAGAAAACAACTTCAAATCAATTTCATGGTAATTTGGTCATGATTTTCAGCATTTCTACAAAGGCAGTCTGTCCCCAATTGTTCTCAGAATTTCTCTTCATGGCCACGATATTCATGCATCGTTGGTTTAATGCAAAAATAACCCATCTGAATGAAGAACCACCATAGCGTAACTCTCTCTCTGAGTTGTGAATTTTGTTTTAGTGTCAATCGTCCAAGTCAGTTTCGATGTTACAAAGGTTAGACCACTTTTTGTCGTGCTCACTAACAATAACTTCGGACGCTAAAAATCCCTAAAATCGGACGCTAAAAAGGCAAATGAAGCCCCTCTAAAGGCGAGGCTTTAACTTAGAATTAGCCAATCACGGAGGGGACAGACTGCCATCTACAATTTTCAAATCAAGCGTTTCCTGTTTCATGTTTTCTTATGAAATTTGTTGACGCCAACAAGGCGCTGTTAAATTTGTAAATGAGCCACGCGTGCAACGTACGGTTATATGCACAATAGATGGACAAAATACTGCAGCCAAATTATAATGACAATGACTGTCTTTTCGATACGCGCACATAAACAAAATTCATTTTCCTTCCTTAAAGCAAGTGATTGCGAAATGTAGATCAGACTCAGAAAAGTTGCCCATAGCTTGCAAAACAGGAAAGAAATTGCTGTCGATGTCCCTTGTCCAGCTTCCCACATGCGCTCAAGTAAACAATGACTGTTGTTAAATTGGCTATTGCCATATTCCGCCAGAGCTGACCAAATTAGAATTGGCCTGACTCATCCTTCATAATGCAAACAATGCATTTTCATAAGTCAAGCGAATATTCAAACTTTCGAGCATTTTATGCAT